ACATACTTTACAGATCAAGTCTTCGTGAAGCCTTTAAAATAAAAATAGAGAATGTTAGCTAATTTGACGTATAAAGTCTTTGTTCTCATATATAGATAGAGAGAGAGAGAGGGAGAGAGAGAGAGAGAGAGAGAGAGAGAGAGAGAGAGAGAGAGAGAGAGATTGAAGAAGACCCTCTCTTTCATCTGCTTTTTTCTCGACAAAAACTTGAATCTATAGATTCATTTATGATAAAAGTATGAAAGAAACACACGTATTCCTCTATGTATTCACATTTTGATGAAATGGATGGTGAAGATGATGATGCTTTCAACTCAATGAAATCAATATAAGGCTTTTTTGATTTCTTATTTGAAAAGCTTTTTGTAAGAATGAATGAATGAATGCATTCTTCATTTGGTTTCTCACCCCCCTTTCTCATCCCATAAGATTCATTTTCATTTTTATTAACATCTGTTTGATTTTCTTTTTTTTTTTTCATCTATCTTATAGTCTTCTTCAACATCATCTTGTTCGTTCGAAAGAAGGTTAATGATTGAAAAAGGAAAAAAAAAGCGAAGAACAGGCATGAGAAGATGTGAGAATAGTTTAGAAGACATGTGACTCTTTGAATAATTGTTTTGTTTCTCATTCAGATTGTATAAGTTGCTAACTTCTATTATCCCACACCTATTTGATTGAGTTAGCAGTTATTCCCATGTATACGCTTATATTTCTCATATTTCATCATTTGCTATAGTTTGATTGTATATCGTAACTTGACCACTCACTGGCGCTTCTATTCTTCCAAAAAATAGTTGAAATTTCTTTTTTTTTTCCTGATTGTATATTTATCCAGCAATGATTGTTCAGCTTATACTGAACAATGCTTCAATGACATTGTGTGAAAAAAAAAATGAAAAAGAAAACAGAAAGAGAGAGAAGAGGATGAGGTGATAAACAGTTTCTTTGAAAATGAAAGAGTTTATTGAAACAAGAAGACGATTTATAAATTATTTATGAATAAACTGACAGAGTTCATTCTTTTCATTCATCAGATTATTTTCAAAGAGAATCCAAAAGAGTGAGAGAGGAAGAGAGTTGAGGGAGGTAGCGAGAGATGAGAAGGGAAAAAAAAAAGTTTTTTTGTGCTGTAGTCGTTCAATGAAACGAATAAAAATTGCGTTGGATTGCAGTTAATGAGAACCAGTTTTGAAGCAGCTTTCATACGTTAACCTTCAATCGTTTTGAATGAGGAGAAATGAAATAAGTGAAGCAAAGACAGCAGGTGAACATACGTGTGTGTATGTGTGAGAGAGGGACAGAGTCTATTGTAAACGCATTTTTTCGTTTTATAAAAGTTTTGTCTTTGTTGTCTTTTGATATTCTCTTCATATATATCCATCTTAATAGGCTTAGATGTTAAGAAGGATAGAGAATGGAGGTTGTTGCAATGTCCATTTAACCTTCATTGGCTTCTCGCTTCAACTCCTTCTTCTGCTATCATTGCTATATTCGATTGTGATGAAGATAGATAGTCAAAAGTAAAACGACCACTTAGTCTGTTGAAAGATTAACAAAATTCTCGAGTAGAGCGTCAGTAATCGTCTGTTGTTCCGAGCATCCGAACTCAACTGTCGCACCAAACGTCCATCAATGAAGAGTTATCTCTTCTTTTCGCATCATCACTACTAAAGCAGCAGATTGTGTGTTCTATTCTTCTTTTCCTTCAAATCTTTCTTCTCTATCTCCTGATCATCTTTCATTCTCTTCTACTACTTCATTTATGGTTTTGACCTCTCACGTTTCTTCATTTACAATGCCTACTCATCGATAATTGTATTTGCTCTTTGTACTCTTCTTCTTCCATCTCTTCTAAGCAACGAAAGTCCGTAAATCAGCGTTCTGCCCATAGTTCAAGCAACATTCTCCAACTTCATACTGTTCCATTAATTATAGACCATCAACATACAAATGCTTCCTCATATACTCACTCTCCATCTCTCATTTCCCATCTCCCTATTACTCTTTCATTTGACAAAATGTAGGAAACAGTCTTCAATTAGATTATGCATCACTGTTTTAGTATTCTCATTCCAATTAGCCATTATTCACTTATGAGCAAGCAATTGTCATAACTTTTCTATTTGTCTATTTTAACCTCAAAAATATTTTTTGATTTGCTCAATTCATTCTTCAAATGGCTTGTATGCTTCTTTTCCATTTTTCCTTCATTTTTATTTCAAGAAAACAATTTAATTTTGAATTTTTTTCTCTTCATATGTCAACAAATACACCATTGAATCAGATTTATTACTCTCTTTCCCCCTCTCTCCCTCTCTCTCTCTCTCTCTCTCTCTTATTCCCTCCCTCTATATGTAGTCATTTTGGATATTCTCTCTAGTAGTAGTAGTAGTAGTGGCCGGCAGATGTGTCAGTACATTAGGAATGATAGTGACATTGAACAGATGTGACCTAACATACACATACTCACATACATACATACTTACATACCTATGTAAAGCAGTTTTATATTTAAATACTCTTACAATCGAATAAAACCATCACAATGAAGTTTTATCCAGCTTTCATCGTCTTTTATCTTATCTAGAATACAAAAACCAGTTTGAAAAATGAATTAGTTAGGTTCGCAATCTCCGTTATCGATTTTTAATCTCGTTATCGCAATCATTTTGAAAAGAAGAATCAGTTATTTGATATTGAATCATGTTTTCAATTTCTTTAGAAGGTTCAATTGTGTTTCTCTCTCTCTCTGTTACTTACTCTCCATTCATATAATACTGTCTAACATAAACTCTTTTTCTCTTTCTCTCTCTTTTGTACTCTCGTACTACGTACAACTATATACCATTCCTCCATCTTTCTTTTTTTCTCTGTCTTATTCATGTATTTATTTTAATCAAACACATTTTTATAGCTACACAGATAAAAAACTATATGACCTTCATTCATATTTTGGCGCCAAAACTTCTTTTTGTGCCTCTTCTTGCCTCTGATATCGGTTTGTTTGTGTCATCATAGGATTTTCAATTAAATATGTTATGTTTATGTATACATCATCATCATCATCTTCTTTCTTTTTCTTTCTTTCTTTTTTCAAATTTGAAATATTGACATTCGGGTTATATCATTCACATTGCTCCTTACATTCAGTCATTCATTCGTCTTCTTCTTCTTCTTCTTCTTATGTTATCCTATCGGTCATCATTGTATTTCAATATGGTTCTTTTATTTTTATTCTAGAATATTTTGAAAGAAAATTCTCATAATTTTCTAATTTCATTTCATTTGATTGGCGCGTATGTCCTTGGTTGAGAACAGAATCAGATAGTTGTCATGCACTCAGTTAGCCACGATTATTAGATAGATAAGAGCAATATCCTTATAATACCCACCCCCCTCTTTCTCTCCCTTTTTTTTTTGTTTTCGGAAGCAAGTTTTGAAATTATTTGACTTTTGATAAAAGCGGTGGGGGGGAGTATGGAGAGGAAGAATAGAAACAGAGAGAGAGAAAGAGGGAGATGAAATAGAAGAAGGGAAAAAAAGAAGTTTTGATCTTTGCGTGGAAGCTGAAATGAAAGAAAAAAAAAGGTTTCGCGCTCAAATTGTTCTGTCCGATAATGAAATAAAGAAAGTTGGTGAAGATTTGATGACGCATTACTATCTCAAAATGAATCGCATCTAATTAGGGCAAGACTAGAGTATCAAGCCGGTCGGTTTAAAACATTTCTCATCGCTCTTTGTCTATCTCTATCGTTCTCTCTTTCTCTCTCTCTCTCTCTCTCTGTCAAAGAACAATAGTCTTGTGAAATACTCGAAAGTGCAACAGATAGATAATTGAAGGAGAATTTGCACTGTAAGTTTATTGAAAATTGTTTGAAAAAATGACGTATTCATAGTATTCAATTATCGTTCTCCGCACTTCTTTCACAGCCATAAACTAGTTGAAAAGAGAAATCAGAAACTTTTCTTGCATTTTCCGTTCAATAGTTTCATCCATCGTACGCTAACATGATCATTGAGGAGTCTATTCATTCATCTTTTCATCTTCTCCTCCTCCTCTCTCCATTTCCCTATTATTATGATGTTTTTTTGAGCTTAACTCTATCTTATGTTGCTGTATGGAGCCTATTTATGGCATTGAAGCTTTACTTTGCAGCTTAACCAAAGATTTCGTGCTTTCTCTCTCTCTCACTATGTTTTATAGCAAGCATTCAAGCGTTATTCATTTTCAACTATAGCTCTATACGGTCAAAACACATGCAGCCATCTGTCAAGCGACGACATATTTTTCACGGCCGCCTCCCATCCATACTCTAGATGACCTTAGAATGTACTGAAACTAATAATCATAAAAGCAAAACTCCAAAAAGAGTTTCGTTGTTTCCCACAGCTAATCCTTTTTCTATTACACGAAACCATTCTATTCATAGAAAGCGTTTCATTTATATATCTATTCCTTCTTCTCCTCCTCCTCCTCCTCCTTCTCTTCATCTTCATCTCTCTTTCCTTTTTTTTCTTTTTTTTTTGTCGTTTCCTTTATCCTTTCATAAAATATTCCTTGCACTTTCCTCATTGTTTTGCTCCTTTTGTTAATCGTTTTTTTTTCGTTCATATCCCTTTTTTGTTTTTCTTCAAACAAATCGAAATAGGTCATCTGGGGAGTTTTATATAGCTCACACCCTTTGTTTACTTGAACTCAAATACTTTTCATTCGTTTGGTATACAATTTATAATTGTCAATAGACTATATAGCGAGATGTTACTGAATGTCAATGAAATACAGCAGATGTGTGTATGCGTGTGTGTGTGTGTGTATGTTGATGAACGGACACCGAAGAATTCAATTTTCCTCTTGATAGTCATTTTCAATAACAGTATTAGCATGTTGTATTCTTTGATTCATCGTTATTACTATATAAGTACATTAAATTAATTTTTTCTTTGATTGCAGGGAGCAAGGCCGCCCTACTTACTTCTCGGAATAAGCCGATTGCAGAATGTTTGGTACGTTTGTCTGTTTTTTTGTTTCTTTCATTTCTGCTCATATAACAACGACCTTTCTCTTTATATTTCAATACATGAGAGAAAGAGAGCTTGAAAGTTCACTTTTTCCACTTGAAAAGTCTTTTCGTCGTTCAATATGTAACTCAAATCCTCTTATATGTTTCTTGATTCTCATTCATTCATACTCGTTATGTATCTTTTCAATATAAAAAAGGAGCCGATATAGTCGGCGAATCTCGGATTATGCTAATTTCTTTTGAGATGACCTTGGCTATGTTCTCTAAAGGTTAACAACTCTTCTTCTCTCTCTTCCTCTCTCTATCTCTTCCTCTCTTGGTATGATATGTGTTAGATATATATATATATATATATATATGTATGTAGGAAGACATACATCTTTATATCTTTCCATATATGGATAGATGGATAGAATGAATGTATGAATGTGTATATACACATGAATCTTCATGATTCAATCATATAATCTTACACCTATTCCTTATATTTTCATATTTTTCCATTTTACTCATTTCATATTTGAAAGTTGAAAGTTGAAAGAAAGAACAATTCATGTTCAAAGACTATAATTCTAATTCATATTTGAAATATTCATGGTTTGATAGTACAAAAAATATTTTTTTGAGGCTTTTCCTCTTCCTTCTATTTCATTGATTTTCATAATTGAAATTGGCTTCTGACTTTGACCTCCATGTACGCTTTTTCAGTTTTCTAATTCGTTTTTTCTCATTTTTTTTCTCTTTTGGAAATTTCGTTTCATCTTATGCTGTCGATGGGTGGCTTTTCGTTCGTCAAACAGATGAGAGAGAAAGAAACAAAAAAAAAACTGAATCGGCCTATCCTTTGAAGTTTTGTTTTCCATAATTTGTAGCAAATTATGTGGTAATCAATGTAAGAGAAAAGACATTTCATTCTATGCTAGAAGACTTTGCACTCCATACGATGTCCTCAGAGGGGAGACAATTCACAAAAACATTTTGAAAATTCTCAATTAAAATTGGAAAAAAGTCAAATCTTTCAACGTTTTGATGTGTTTCATTGAATTTTTTTATCTTCTTTTCCGTGAATGTAGAAAGAGAGAGAGAGAGAGAGAGAGAAAAAGAGAAAGAGAGAGGTGATGGTTGTGATGAAGGAAAAGGGGATTTTTATCTTTTGCATACAATCTTATCAAGCAACTTCAAACTTTGCATCGAGAAACGCTTCATATGCTAGCGATGAACACATAAATTCAGCTGTTTCTTTCATTTTTCTTCTTTTCCTTGATGATGATGATGGTGGCGGTGTGTAATTTGAGAAATGAGATACATAATCTTGTATAAGCTGATATGATTGTGTGACAAAAGTTTTTCATCCGTCAGCTTGCCTCAGTGGTAGTGGCTGACACAAATCAATTGCCATCATTAAAATAAAAAATAGAAGAAAAAGAAATTTTTGTTGTTTTCTTTTTTTTATGTCTCTCGTACCTTTCAATCTCGTCTTCCGTTGGCCCATCATTCACATTGCTTGTCGTCATCGTTCACATTGGTACAATCTTCTTAGCCGCTCTGAATGCCTTTTCGTCAACAACTGCTTAGACATATAGACAGACGACGTTGCAATCATCTACCGAGCTTCGTTACAGGTCTAGGTCTGTGTGTATCGGCGTTGTCACCATCATCATTATCCTGGTACTCCAGCCGGTTTTTCTTTTGAGAATGGGCTCATTTCTGGTTTTGCTAAGACTCGACGACGGGGGCTTCTCGTTCTCTTCTCCTTTTCTCTTTCTATCTATTAATTTCTTTTTTTTCCTTTTTATCTCTGTTCTTCCCTTTTTTTTTATTTTCTCCTCCTTTTTTCTTCCTCTTTTCGTTTATTTTTGTGAGGCTGTTCCCTCTCTTTCTCTCTTTCTCTTGGAGGACACAAAAAACTCCCAAAAAGTGCCATTTCTCTGTTTGCAAGGAGAATTCCATTTTCTTCGTTTTTTAGCGGATGTCTTTCTCTGTGTTTATATTGTTTTTTATTTTTCGATTTGAAGAAAGCTTTTCCATTTTAGAATGAGAGGGAAAGAATGAATTTTTTCATTTTCATGTCAATTCAAGCCTCCTTATCGCTCCCCTAATTAGTTTTTAGGTACCATCAAATTAGTTATTCTAATCTTTTAAGCTTTTTTTCGCTCAATTTGAAAGTCACAATCTCCTAGAAAGGCTTTGGCTTGATACTTTCCTTTTTTGGGGGAAAAAAAGGGGGGGGGGGAGAGGAAGAGAGGAGAAATAAGAAAGAAGGGGGGGATGCCTTCATTGAAAAATGCAAAATTCAAATGCAGTTTGTTCGCTTGATAGATAAGACTGATGTTTGTTAGTGTCAAGACTTGCTCTTTTGCCTCAAGTCTCCAGCTGAGTATGACAAATCAATTCCACAACCCAGCACAGACAATCTGACGCTTTTCTTTGAGAATTCTGTCTTTTTATACAACATTTCGTAGTTTTCTTCTCAAGCTGTGCGACCTTGGCAACATATATAGAGAGATAGAGAGTTCGATTTGCCAATTTAATTAAGATTATTGCGAACAAACGGCTTGTATAATGTGTTTGTTCAATGTAGCCTAGGTCACACAACTGTTTCGTCTTACTAACTGGATTATTAATAGATTATGACAGAAAAATCATATTTTATATTAGATAAATGTATGACATATGCAAATTGAAAATTATTCTTTCATGTACTTCATATTCAGTTTTCGTGTCAGGATTATAATTTCATTTTCATATTATTTGAAATATGATTGTCAGACTATATAGCAGATAGATATATAACTGTCCCTTCTCTCTTTCTCTCTCTCTCTCTCTCTCTCTCTCTCTCTCTCTCTATTCCCTCTTTTAGTACTGTTAATGCATTTCATACGGTTCTGTCATTCATTTCGTTTCACAATCCTAACCATAAGTGTCAAAATGCATTCTCAATTTGTAATGGTTGTCGTTAGCTTTTGACGATTTAGCTAGACGTTCCATACATACATGTTTTTACGAATTTCTTCTGAGTGAACTGGCTTTGGAAACGGGGTCGGTGCGGGATGCACTTAAGAACTGTATTTGCTTTATCGTATTATGTGTGCTATCTCTAGTTACATGAACCTATCAAAACGGAAAATACTGAATGCTGTGAGAAAAAAAAAAGAAGGAAAGAAACATGTTTTTACCAGCATTTTTTTTGTAAGAAAAAAAAAAGGAAAGTTTTTTTCTCGCAGTACTTGTAGACCATTATTCCGTCAATTTCGCATTCTGTTGAATACGATCGAGCGCGCGAGGAGGAGGCTTTTGTAAGAGTGTCTAGACGTTTCGTAAGCGATTTTTATTTTTCTGAACCTTTTTTCTTTTCATTCGCACTCGATCATTCTCAATCGATGTGTTTTTGTTTGCTAACCAGGAGGTCTGAGCTCCAATGTTTGCTTCTAGACCAACCATGACTACTCGACTCGCGTGCATCGTCATTTTCGTTCTTTTTGTTTGGTAGATTTTTCATTTTTACGATGCAAGCTTTTTCTCGCTTTCAAATTTGTACTTTTCGGAAATCTTTTTGCGTCAGAAGGAACAACTGGAAGAAAAGTGAGAATGACAGAGAAACAAGCAAATATAACATGAATGGAGCGTTTCCAGCTTTAGTTTGTAGAAAGCAAGGCAAGCAAGACATGCTATAAGATACATGAGGCATAAACCTTTTCTTTGATTAGGCTTCTCATGCACAACCTCTCTCTCTCTCTCTCTATGTCTCTCTCTCCCTCTCTCTCTCTCAATCTGCAAACCCATCATACTTGTTATTAATACTTCACTTGAGCGGTACAAGCATGATCTATACAAAAATACGTTATCATTTTTATGACATGTCAAGTTTTTGTTTGCTTACATCTATTGTTTGACATTCTGATAGCCTGAATGTTTGACCACATCTATTGAATCTGAACTAACGTTGGTTAGATGCGTTCTCATTATTTCTTCATATCTACAACATTAACTTTCGCATCTTCTTCCTTTCTATATTGAATTCTTTGAATATTTGAGAAAGTGAGAATGAGAGAGAGAGAGAGAGAGAGAGATACGTCAGTTGAATGAATGATAGAATCATCTAGTAGTATATGATAGATGAAGATCTTTTTTATATATTTCTTCTTCTCAATTTCTTATTTCAATCTGTACTTTATCTTATTTGGCGTCAAAACTATCATTTTCAATTTTATTTTTTGTTAGCGGTGTTATCAATTCAGCTGTCATTTACAGGTGTTCCTGCTATGGAATTGAGGGTTGGTGAAAGATATAGATTGGGACGTAAAATAGGAAGTGGATCGTTTGGAGATATTTATTTGGGTAATATAATTAATAACATATATATATAGTTAACGTATATATATTATAGGACAAGATATATACTCAAACGAAGAAGTAGCTGTTAAGTTAGAGTGTGGCAAATCGAAACATCCTCAACTACATATTGAAGCTCGTCTCTATCGAGTGTTAGCTGGCGGATATGGAATTCCTGAGGTTTTGATTTACAATCCATATATGGTTATTCAAATATTCAATTTAAGGTGAAATGGTGGGGAATTGAAGGAGAATATAATGTTATGGTTATGGAATTACTCGGTCCATCATTAGAAGATCTTTTTAATTTTTGTAAACGAAAGTTCACGTTGAAAACCGTTTTACAATTAGCTGATCAGATGGTTAGTTATAATAATATAATTAGTTAATCATATAATATATTATAGATAACACGCATTGAGTATATTCATAATAGAGATTATATTCATAGAGATATAAAGCCGGATAACTTCTTAATGGGACTAGGAAAACGTGGAAATTTAGTTTATGTATTATATTATATTATATTATAATTTACTTAATTATATTATATTTCAGGTTATTGATTTCGGGTTAGCGAAGAAGTATCGTGATACTCGCACACGCGCACACATACCATATAGAGAAAATAAGAATCTAACTGGTACAGCTCGTTATGCTAGTGTAAATACTCATCGAGGTGTTGGTAAGTCTACAAAAAAGATTTTATCAATAAACAAATATATTATTCATCAGAGCAAAGTCGAAGAGATGATATTGAGTCATTAGGTTATGTATTGATGTATTTCAATCGAGGAACATTACCTTGGCAAGGCCTCAAAGCTGCTACCAAAAGACAGAAATATGATAAAATCTCGGAGAAGAAGATCTGCACATCGGTTGATGAGCTATGTAATGGTTATCCAGGCAACAGTATGTTACGATATCAGAAAGCTTTTTCATCAATTATCTTTTTCCAGCTGCTTTCAAGAGTTATTTGAAGTATTGTCGTGGTCTTGGATTTGAAGAAGCTCCGGACTATTTCACTCTCAAACAAAGCTTCCGTCTTCTTTATGATAACGAAAGTTATCGCTATGACCATTTATATGATTGGAACTATCATAAGTGAGTGAAATAATAAACAAACGTCTTGAGATAGCAAAAAATATATTTTCAGCTTCCGAACTACCAATTGTCAGCAACCACAAGTGGCTTATCGTCCTATGGTGCCTTATAGAAATACAAACATGCCAGCTATTCGTAAAGAATAACATCTACCATCAATGGGCATATAGTTAATCAATATTTCCTCATTATATTGTATCTATTAAACAAACAATTGACAAAACCCATTTGATAGTTGGTCAATTCATTTGTGATTTATTAATGTGAAACATCGTCTGAACCTTTCAGTACCTTTCACGAACTGCTGGTATAGATGGAGAAAGTTATTCTCATCCAATCAATAGTCTCAGCTAGCTAAAACCCCTTTTCCCACATTCACAATCTCTATAAGAGTTATCCTTATTATTGTGAAACAGCATCACTCATCAATCAATTCAAACCTCCTTTATCATTATCAAGTATAAGAACCTCTATCTTTCCCTCTCCCTTTCTCGCTCTCTCTCTCTCTCTCTTTTCCTATATATATATGCTATCTGGGTGATAATCCATTTGAATACGGAGAAAGCTAATGTATACATACACAGGAATTATAAGCAATTTATCTGAACCTTACCGGTGCATGTTATGTTGTTTACTTCATCTCTCTCTCTCTCTCTCTCTCTATCTCTCTCCCTCTCTACCTATCTATACATATATCCCTCTTCTTTCTTTCCATTTTTAATATATATTACCCATTCATATTATAAACTCTTTCATATTTGTTAATCCATCCACTATCTGAGAATTCTCCGGTTCCTATTTATTGTACTAGGCGCTCTTTCATATTTCTCGATATCTAAACATTGAATTCCAACTGATATTATCCGTCGTCACACACATTGCGGCAAACTATTCATAGATTTGAGCCCTTTGAGCAGAATATTGTATTGGCAAGGCTTAATATTCACACTTTTCAATATAATATCTACGGGTATTCATGTCGATTAGGAACTCTGTTATTATATGTTATTGATTATTCATCTCACTCTCTCACATATACACACACTCTCTCTCTCTCTCTCTCTCATTTATAAATACAACAACACACAATCACATATGGAAAAGTATCTTTTGGATCATCAGCGGATACAACACAAGCCGTTTTCTCATAGTAATTATTTTTTTATCGTTACTTAATATTTGTTATGATATTCTCCCTTTCCCCCCACATCCCTTCCCATCCTTCACCTTTTCCTTTTGAGAACATGATCGTTTCTCATTATTTCATCAAATCATCCTCATTGTCATCATTGTTCAATCATTTTGTTGTTTGTTGGGCTTATAGTGATGTTTGAAACTTTCTTTCGTAATTATACATTCATTGTCGTGAATAAAAGATGACAAAAATCTGTTTAGTTCTTATCATTTATTCGTCTTTATACGGTATAAACAGATATATGAGGTAATATGGTACTTGTATAGTATAACATAGACATAGAGAGAGAGAGAGAGTGTTAGAGAAAGAGATAAAAAGAGTATTTCATGTAGTTTCCAGTTGGATCACTCAAATTTAAAATTTATGTTCATGCAACTGGTTGAATTCCTAATTTTTCCCATTTTATCCAACTCAGTCTGGCTATTAAATCTAGAATAAAATTAATTTTTCAGAGAATAAGGGAAACACGTTTGTATTAACCACTTGTACTCCATTTGGGGGCATATGGATGACCGTTCTTTGCCAGGGTAACACAACGCCGAACATATCGATGTGAATCCATTGGTGACCTACATTATGATCAAGTAGATACTTAGTACAACCAACCTCAGAATATCGTACAACATGTCGATATAAGCAATAGCCAGATTCAGAGTATCAATTTTCGAGAGTCTCTTCTCATAAGGGAATGTTGGAATATAATCTCTCAATTCCTAAATATGATAAGTTGAAAGATGAATGAATACGTGGAAGACTGTTACCAGAAAAGCAACGTTGATGTTACACATTCGTTTCTTTTCACGAACATTAGCAGTGCTGCGAGAGCTTTCTTCCATTTTCAGATTGGAGGAGAATGAGTTAGCAGCCATAGCGTATGTTCTCAACAGAGAATATAACTTATGCGGAATAACAATCAGGAGGATTTGCTAATGACGGGGTCTGTCAATGACAATCTACTCAGATAATTAGAATTAGTACAACCCTAAAGCTGATGGAAATATGAATTAATATGAAAGTTCATTCATCCGTATAAAGGAGCATGAGAAGAAAAGAATTTTCAATCAGAGTGTTAGATCACGCTGAATGCAACCTACAACCATTCACTTCAACATAATCGAATGAACTTAGAGTATTAAAGAGCAAAATTATATAGTATGATTGACAAGATAGAAATATCGCGGGAAACAATGAATTACTGTGGGAAACTACAACGACGGTTATACGGTAGCGCAATGCCTAAAACAGAAGAAATGTTTCTGCAGGATTATTCATGTGGTGAGAAAACAGTTTCGATGACGGAAAATGGAAAAAGCTGAATGGGAACAGAAGAAGAAGGAGAAGAAGGAGATGGTTAAGAAGAATGTTTATTTGAAAGAAAATGGCATTTCATAGATTCTTAGTCTTCATTGAAGGAAATAGCATAACTGAT